AATATCATTGCGAGGCACACCGAAGCCGAGAGCTCCCGATACATGACGTGTAAGCGCACGGGTATTGCTGCGTTCCATCACATCGAAAAAGCAGCCGTCACGAAATCGAAGAAAATGCGGTGGCTACTTTGCGTACAAGCACAGACGTTCCGCTCTTATGCTCCAACAAATAGCTCGAGAATATATTTTATTTACCATTAGCGTACACTTCAACAATATGAAAAAAATCGTTATATAACCTTCGATCAGCGTAACTGTATTGATTGAAATTATTATTATTATTATTATTATTCAGTCCATCCTGACTCGTAAGGGTATGACAAAAACATTCCTACTCTAAAACGAACAATTTCCTCTTTTCATACAGTTAGTCTCTTTTTAAAGAACCTAAACTTTCAAAACTCCTCCTTTCAATTTTTACCGCACGGGGCGCAAGCAGAAGCAGTACAGGTATTATCCGCTACTCCTGTAATGATAAAAAAAAACCTTGAGAGCGCGCAGTTCAAGTGGCGCGGAACGAGATGATAAGAAGGCGTGTTCCGTTGCTTCGACGCGTCTTCCAAGATGCGCTACACTGCACGCAACTGCGTGCCTGAAAGTTGCGTTCAATAATAGCTATGCCCGTCGTAAAAAAAGCACGATCGGGGCGCAGCACGCGTTGTTCTTCGCTTCAGACAACAGCAACAACAACAATGGGAAACCTATCGTTACTGGGAATCGTAGCAGCGTCTGATTAGACCCAACGGGTTACGCACAGTCTGGTAAAGTCACGTGACCTAAAGAAAATGATCTAACCCTTTAAGACACAACCTACAAATAGACTTTCCTCAAATGCATCGACGCGATACAATGTCACTTCAAGGGACTCAATACTATAAGGCGACAAAAATAATGTGATACATTACGCTCAGCAGCATGGAGTAATCGCCCTTAACTAGTTGGTAATTAAATATACGTTTATCCTGAAGTCATTAGTCTGCTTTCGCATATTAGAATCAAATCTCACGTTGCAAATGCACTGCGGATTCGTTCTTGCTTTTGCTCATATCGAGAAAAATAGGACACGTTTGATGTGGACTCGACTCGCTGAGCATGGCAGTGCTTCAGAATAGTGAAGGAGTGCAACAGTAACCTACGAGAAGATGTTAAGTGAAGACAAGATAGATAAGGCCCGAGGTTCAATTCACCCAAATGTCGCTGTGTCTCGGAATTTTTTTCCTAAGCGCTAGTCGACACAGCTAGCAAAAACGTGTAATGTACACAATTGTATACGGAACGTTTGAATCGGTGAAGTGTACGCCTTCACGGTCACCGTCCTTGAGGAAACACGGCGAGATAGGAAACGCCCAGCACTAAAGGAGCACGGAAAGAATTGATTGCCCCAGTAGGCTTTTTTTTTTTTCCCTGATCATCGTCTCCCCATGGCCACGACGAGTCGAAAAAAACAAGCAAAAAAAAGCGCTACACAGCGACTCCAGAGTGATGTGCTCTATGCATGAGCGTGAGCCAACCGAGAACGACGAGCGCCGCATATCCGAGTTTGTCACGAATCGTTGCACAGAGCTTTCGAAACGAGGCAGGCGAAATATATTACAGACAAGGCTAAGAGCAAGAGAAAGACCGTTCGTTTTCCATGCAAGGCCCATCCACCTCCACCCCCCCTTTCTCTCCCTCCAACTTCAACGCATAGAGCACTTCGTGAAAGTAGCGTGTCGATATGGCACAGCTGCCGTTAGCGAAATGCACGGAAGACTTTGCAGCAGCGTCTTTTGTATTCCCATCACTCGTTATTCCCTGTTTTTTTTTTTCTTATCCGTGGGCGACTCCAGTTTCGATTGTCGTGTCGCTACATACAATGCGAGCGTCGGCCGAGGGGACAGTCTCGGAGACAAAGGGAGAAAAATACGAGAAGCGCAGCCCGAGCGTTCGATTCCACCGCACCTGTGTACAGTGCAGTATTACAGAAGAAACAGCAACACGACAAAAGAACGAACGGAACGCGAACCAGGACACGAACGCAGCCAAACAACGATCGAAGTCGGGAACTCGCCGTCTCGTCTGCTCACCCTCTCGTTTCGAGCGCGTCGAAATCGCTTGATTGTTGACGCGCTCAGCGCGTTCATTGAATCAGACGTCTATGAAGGCGTGATTCAGCGCTGAGAGTGATTGAACAAGCTTACCCAGCACTACCTGGTGCGGGCTCTCACCTGCACGGCAAGAACTCATCACAAAGTGACAGGGATGCTTACTGAAGGAAGGGAATTTTCGAGGGCTCGTCTCCTCATGACGATAGTTATAGCGCGAAAACACAAACGACACAGAGACAAGAAGGACACGAAACACTCTGTGTCGTCGTTTTTGTTTTCGCGCTATTGCTATCGTCATGCCATACCAACTAGCCCAAGCTGCCACACTTCTCGTCTCTTCGGTTTACACGAAAACAAGCGGATAATGACGCCAATGTAGACGACGCCAATGTAGCTGAAGTTGCTCCGCTGTATGTGTATTGTCACGGGGTAGTGACGTAGATGAATGGGATGTTAGCTGAAGCATCGAGACGAAGTCTTTTTCAGAGGGAAGGGGGGGGGGGGGAAGGGGCAATGCCATGTTTCTTTCAAATTTGTTATCGCCCCGTTACACTACGTTCAGCGCAAACTGTGCCTACGATGTTTGAGAAGCTTCGGTGCTGTAGTAGATCGTTTTGTTAAGATTAGGTCCACTTCGTGCGCATTACAGATTATTCTTGAACCTACGTCGCAGCTAGCGATAACGCTAGAATATTCGATGGCAAGGGTACAAATGCCGACATGTTTCGCCACTTCTCAGTTGATTGACGGCCGACGCTCCGTTCGCCGCCCTGAGTGCAAGACTGCTACTGTAATCCGACTTTCCGTTTACTGGGCACAGGTTCACCCAAATGAACAATTTATTATTCGACTCGCAGTGTGCTCCATTCGTCGACGTCACGACCCCGTGACAGTATTGTAATAACAGTGCGGAAGCGTGGACGAAAAGACAAGTTCATTGATTGATATGTGGGGTTTAAAGTCGCAAAACCACCACATGATTACGAAAGAGACCGTTGCGGAGGACTTCGGAAATTTCGACTACCAGGGGTTCTTTAGCGTGAATCCAAATCTGAGCACGCGGGACAACGGCATTTTCGCGTCCATCGAAAATGCAGCCGGGATTGGATCCCGCGACCTGCGGGTCAGCAGCAGAGTACCTTAGCCACTAGAACACCACGGTGGGGAACAAAAAGTTGCTTCGGGCAGGGTCCAAACTTGTGACATGCTTGCTCCCTGCCAGAATTATTGCATTATACATAAAACAACGTTGCCTACATTTACACTGGCTTTACTTTCTGCTTTTTCTTCAGGTTCCGCAAAACGGGTGGTTATGCAAATATTTTGTGCAGGGCCCCAAAATCCGTTGGGGTCCCCAGATCTTGCATTGCGTTGTTCACCAACTGGGGACCCGAAGAAAGAGACAGAAAGAATATAAGAAATGTAGGTAGGTTAACTAGACTACGTCCAGTTTGCTTCCCTACAAGTAGAGAGGGGAATAAAGGAGTAAGAGAAAGAGAAGGAGATGCACTTCGCTAACCCCACTCGCAGTGCATGGTTTCGCAGGCGGTCACTCTGTATGCTGCCCTCAGGAATTGTCGGAGGGCTCGTCTGACTTTCCGAGCCACTGGGAGACCATGCTCCCAAGATTACAAAATAAGGCATGATCGTGGACACAAGCCAATATGGCTTCGAGGATTCTATAGTTAAAATAACTGCTGGGGTCTCACGACCCAAAGCCACGAAGCGATTACCATAGACCCCGTGGTGGAAGAATCCAGATTTTCCGAGAGTTTGGACCGTCTACCTGAGTCTAAGCACGCGAGTCGCTAAAATTTCGCCGGTATCGAAACGTGGACGACACGGGCGTGATTCGATCCCGCTACCTTCGGGTCCGCAGTCGAATACCGTAGCCAATAGACCACTAGGGCGGTTAATTGGGAGGCCCTAGCGCTAATATTAACGATCAGGTTCCTACGTAGACTGATCGCAACGTTAGCGTCGTTCGAAACATGCCCGCTTGCTTTGCTCCCTACCGGATGGGAACACGGTGGGTCGTAACTTCGTACAAAACAAAGCAAAAAAAAGCAAGGACTATAACAATAACTTCCGCTGTACTTTCCGAAAAAACCGTACGCAACGTCGACTATCCGTTATAGCAAGAAGCCTTACACAGAAATGCTGATAGCTCGAGTACTCAGAATGTGAGTCACACTAAAGTGACGCACGGCGTCCATCGAAGCGTGGACACAACATAAAAAAGGGAAAGAAAACTTGCCAACAGCGTTGGCCTTCAATGGCACATACAACCCGGCTGCCTCTGAATGTTTCATGACCACAAACCGAAAGCGCTTCGCGAGCTGCCGACGATACCCGGCACAGATGCGACCGGAAAGCCGAGGAGGACGGGAAGAAGGCGAGAGCGCATGGGGAGGCGAAAGCAGCCGCCGAGAAACAAAAACCTCCACTACGTCTGTGTGGGCCGTCTCGGTCTGTGAAGGCCGTTCAGGCTACGCCCGTTAGGCCGCGTACTTGCACGTTGGATTGCCGATGTCGTCTAAAGGGTTAAGGACATACAGGGAAACAATAGCTAACCGAACTGAGACCGTGGTCGTTCTTATCGACGAACAAAACAAGTATTGTTGGGATGCGTGCCGAGAAAATGCCGTCTAGTGACAGGCGTTGGCACCCGGCTACTTTCAACTTTTCCACACCTACGTGTTTCAAGTCTACGACGGCACCAGCGTTTCGTACGTGCGCTTTCATTGAGCGCTTGGGACCGTGGTTCTTTTGTCGAGCCGCCGCTCTGTTGTCGCAGGCATGCGCGGCGGGAAAGAGTTGTCGAAAGCGAGCCATCCGATGCAAGCAGCCGGCAAGCTGCGACGGGGCACCTAGCCGCATCGGAAGTAGCGGAGGTGGGAAAAAAGGACTCACATGCAGCGTTCCTGCGTTGTGGTGCAGTCCTCGGTTAGTCGGGGAACCGCTGTTGGCGGTGCCATATTTGCCGCCGTCCGCCGGCTTGGGCGGCAACGTCGCACCTCCACGAGAGATCATTATTCCATCCTGCATTGGCGTCGGGGTTCACGGATTGCCGGCGTGCATTCGGAGACCGCAGAAGGGGCAACAGCACTAGCGGCTGACTCGCACAACAACGCGCACACACAGCGACGCGGTCGCCACCATTGACCGCGCCATAGAGAAATAAAGGTTAAGAGTGGACACTTCCGTAGACCCCAGCGGCCCAATCGACCCTAGCACACCTAGTGGTTGGTGAGAGCAAGTGGCGTGCGCTTCCTGTTTCGGTTTCACTGGCGCGAATTTTGAATTACTTTGCATAACCGACGTTTGGCTGTGACGAAAGTTCATGATTTCAGACCACTATTCATCGCCCAAATGGATAGTTTTTGTAGGTCGTTTTGATTTAGCGATTCCCTGTTTTGTTTTGTTCAGTGGTTCGTGCGAATCGGTCGTGACGTAATTTTTATTTCGATTAAGTTATAATAAAAAGAGATGCAGGCAATGATAATTCACTACGGTTTTATTCATCGCGCTTGTGTTTTTCTTTGGAACGAGTGATCAATGTATATATCAGTCAAAGAGACAGATTATTCGTAATGTTTTATTCAAAGGCAAGGTAGAGTCTCAGAATATAAAAAGCACAATATGACAAAGGTAGACAACAAATGCATCTCGCCTTACAAATAAATTGTAACAAATACAGAGAGAACACAGACAACGCACACATCGCTCGAGTTGGCAGAAGCCGAGAAGCTGGTGAAGTATGACACACCGGGCCAGTGGGTAAGTAAGGATCTATGGCAAAAACACAGCGCACAATGCTGATGAAGAAGGAAGAAGTGACACATACACAGCAATGAAGTCGCGAATCACGCCTGGGGTTAACAGAAATAATGCATAGAAAAAAAGAGCACACAGAAACCACACGACACAATAGAGCAGAAAGGCAAAGGTGCAGTGTGCTGGCTGTGCTTAAGAACAGCTAGTCCAAAATTTAAAAAAGCAGACTTGATCCCTGCTTGTCCTCAGAAAGGTAGGGCTTTGCAGCTTGCTCACTACGTGAAAGACAAACTTTATGCTACAACACTGGCAAGTTTTGTGGCTTTTGTTATGCGTCGCCTTCATCAAAAACTTAAGATCCCAAGTGATTTGCGTCTGGGTGTTGCTGTGACACTTGCGAGCTAAAATAGATTGTAGTCATCACTTATCCAGAATTGTGGACCTTAATTGGTGCTACGAGAGCGATATTACAGGGCTAATAAATAGCAGAAGGAAACCACTTTGGCTCATTATTTTTCACAAAGGCTCTACATCGTACGTTATCACTCAAAAGCTATATAAAAATAAAATGGCAGCGTCCGCAGCCCCATCAAACGCTACAAGTTTGAGTATTCTTTTGAAAATTTTGATGGGCGAGATGAGGAGGTTGATGAGAAGCTAAAATACGAAAAGCGTGATAACGTGAACCGTGCCCACTTCATACTGTGTTCCTCACCCGCTCAAAGACATTTCAACAAGCGGTTTTGTTATCGATATATTACTTGAGCTGGAGAGATAAAGCATACACAGTGACCAAGCGAGCCACAGTAAAGTGTACAGTTCGCCCGCATTTTCTACAAAAATACAGACAGGATACCCAACATTCTTTTTAAGGTTATGCAAATCACTTCGAGCGAATACACAGTGTCCCTACTCGTCATAGTGGGTAACCTAAACAATGTATGCAACGAAGGAGTGGCTAGTCCAGTTGAGCTGAATATAAGCATATAAGACCATAATGAAGTCTGCTGTAACGAAGTAATAACATAACAAAGCTATTGCAGGATTCGGCTCAACTCGAATACTTTAGTGTAAACCCGCAGCTAATTGCTAACCTTTGAACTTGTCAAGCTGTATGCCTGAGATTGAAGACTGGAACCTAACCCTATCTAAGTTTCGGTTCACAAAACGCACATGCTCGCATAAACGAACCCGGCAAAACATTTTCAGAAACTTCGCGCGACACCCAGCAGAGCAGAAATGAAAATCGCCAACACTTGAAAAATGGTGATACAAAACATCGCACACTTTCAGGTGATGTGCCGTGGCCTCAATTATGGCAAGAAAGTGAGATTCAAGTTGTTGTACGTATGCAAACACTGCTTCTGATGGCACAGTGAGATTCCCAAAAAGTTTGCTGGGGACGTGGTATGCTTTGAGCATTGTGAAATACTGGTGGGTACCCTAAAGCGTCTCATTGTCGTCTTTCAGTAACTGTGGGCAACTGCAGCCGTCACATGCATTCCGAAGGAAGTGTTTGATGAGAAAACCAGCTACATAATATGCAGCGGAGTCATCGATAATATGGGAGTGAACGTTTGTCGCAAGTTCAGAGAGATCGCCTAGAGCGGGAAAGTCGTCAGGCTGTGGCTGTGCACACTCCTCATTATCCACAAGAGACGCACTGGTGAGGGAGAATGGCGAGAGCTGCTCCTGGAGGAGGTCACATTCATCATCCTCGACATTTCCGTATTCTGACAGCTTGAAGAGTTTTCTTATGCAGATGTGCTTCAGGCCACAAATAAATTGTGCTACATTGGGGTTGGTGTTGCAACCCTGTTTTTGCCTAATGTGGCCAAATATGTTCTCCAGAGGATCCTGTTGAAGCCTGCGTGTTAACAGGTATTCAAAATTGTAATTTTTGGAGAGGTCATCCCATAGTTGACAAATTGCCTGAATTGTAATTTGCCAACCTACGATGGTTTGTGGTTGACGTCTGCCAACAAACTGCCATGATGCAAACCAGGGAAGCTGGCCTCGGAGGAAGTCAATCAGCTCTGAATCATTTTTCATGATTGCATGCCGCAGCTTTTGCGAAGTTATTTTTTTACTCGAGTGTTCAAGGCATCGAAAATCCTGTCCATACGATCACAAAATTGAGCTGTAGTGATGGCCGAGGCAGGCAGCACCTTCGCATACACCAATGCCGTGATAGCAATCGAAACTGATGCACTGAGGACCTGAGTTGCTCTGCTGACCTTCATATTAGAAAAAGGTTTCTGATGAACGTGCCGTTCAGTCAACTTTGGAGCCAATCGCAACCGCAACTCATGTGAGGATTGGTAAAGGCTTACAATGTGCGACCAGTTAACGATGTCATCCTTAATGTATAACTTGTGTGCTTGGACATTATTGCGCGTTGTTTTAATTAAATGCGGAACATCAAAAATGTAATATACCCGCTCACCATTAACTTCAAAAAAAGGCTTTGCTACAGTCACTCTTAGTTGGGTAGCGAGACTTACATTTGAACTGCCCTGGTCACAAATGACTGCTTTCACTGCAATATTAATGCTCCTAAGCTCCAAAATGAGTGACACCAGCAAGTTATGCATAACGGATGATGGTGTTGATGTGTGCCCTATAGTAAAAGCGACCGGTTGAACCCACTTTCTCGAAACACCAACAAGAAGAAAAACCAGTGCTCGATCAGCGATGGTTGAAGTGTGATGAGTGCCATCATCTGTAAAACCCTGGACAACGTCTCTTGCAGCATCATAGTACAAATTCTTTTTGAGTGCTATTTCATCAAAAACTAAAGCGCACACTCGGTCCCGTTCATTCCAAGCTTGAGTATTTGTTGCAATGGAAGAAAGGATTCCTGGAATTATGCCTGGAGTCATCTTTACATTAGCTAGCCACCTCTTTAATGAACGCCGGGCGGGCAAAGAAAAATATGGAGCCAGAAATCGGTATGCTCGCGGACCTCGGAAGTTTAAGTGAAGAGCAAATTTCTTGAACCACACGGGAAACCGCTTGCCCTTGCGTTTGGGCCTCAAGCGAACATGTGCAGAAAGAAGTTTAAAAACCTCCTCGGTGACGTGTGGTCGGATAACTTCAAGGGCCTTTGAAGTCGATGACGGTGCTTGGTGAGGCTGTCTCCGCAGTCTTTTGATAGTTTTCCGATGTGCTGCTACTTTGGCTTGCAGATGTTTAATGGTTTGCTTGTACTTCATTGATGGAGACATTGTCGCTGGCACACAGGAACGCACTGCAATAAACAAAAAAAATGGATGTAAAAGCGAAGAACAACTAATCCCATACGAGCACTTTCCTCGCTCTTTCAGACCCAAGGTGCACAACTTTCTGTGGTGCAAAGTTTTCGATTCCACTACCTAAAAACAAACCATTCACAATGTTGACAATGCACAAAAAAAAATAAAAATCACTGAGAGCCCACCCTTACATTTTGTAAGTGCACAGTAGTGTCCTTTTGAGGATAGTTTCCTCAGAATGTCCTAAACATAAAATAGCACATTAAAAACAGCTGCAATAAAAGCATAGCCACCATTTTCTTTAGGGCACTCAGGCGTGGAGCTGTTGGCGGAGACGTCTTCTGGAGGGTTTTGTGAAGCTTGTTCAGTGCCTCGGACAGTGCTGTCGGAACAATCTTGCGAGCGGCCTGCGGAAGTCTCTATATCAATCCACTCTGGTGTTGAAGTGAACATACAACTTACCGGTCAGACAAGTTCCTTTTGTGACAGCTAAATGACTGGTTAAGGTTTTCTCCGGCAAGACGAAGTCAGCGGAAATTCTTTCACCAGCTACAAGGGAGCTGCCACCTGCAGAGGTTTGGTCAACAGTCAATTTCGGTAAAAAAAAGAAATCGCGACACTGAACGCACCCTGTTCATCGGGGCACCTCAATGTGTGGGAGCCGCTTTTTGAAGCCTCTACCGCAGGTCCTGAAGAAATGAAATTACGACAATGTATCAGTAAGAGGCTTAAAATAACACAAACTCAAGCTCATCCGCACCTTGCAGTGCAGCTTCTGCAGCCATGTCACAGTCACTACTTGAAGCGACGCTCAGAGAACCTGCATATATGTGCAGTTGGTACAAGTTACAAAGCTTGTAGCATGGGAAAACTTAAACAGCTCTTTCAAATGCATGAATTGGTCGAACGTGGAAGAAAAGAGAAGGCACCAATTAGGAAACAAGTAATTTGTGATTTTTTGAATTATCCACAGTGGCAGCTTTCACTGATGAAAGGTATACGTACATGTGCACTCAGGCTTGAAGATAACGTGAAATAGCCCTTTAAAGTCTTTTAAAACAAGTTGCGCAGGTCAAGAGCATCAAAAAACGACAGAAATGTAAAGCTGCTGTTAGGAAGGTAATAGCCCACAAT